GAATACTGGTCCCATAATTATTTAGGTTACACAATGTCTCACACCAGTACTTGTCCCATTACCTATTTACACCAAAACAAACATAGAACTGGCCATAAACTACTTCGAGAACTTTTAAACAAAGGGATTCCATCAATGTTAAAATTCAATTCTAAATGGTCAACATTTTCGCTGATATCTTGGGGATAGGAGTGAAAATTTTCCAGGAGTGATTCACCTAACAGGAATTGAAGATATTCCATCCCAGATTTTTTTAAGGTAATAACTCTGGCTGTACCCAATGACCTGGCAGTTGCAGGCAAACAAGGATGACCAGACTGCTTAATTAGCTTTAACAGACTGTCAACTGCATTGTGCTTTACTTGAAAATGGTTAACCCAATCAAATCAACTAAACCATCCTCTAAACTTATTTCTTCTGATTCGGAATCAGATAAACGACATCTTTCATTGTCTGAATTCGAATTACAATCAGGGTCATCACATGTTGGAATGTTCAGGTTAGGGAACTCGGGTACATTAATGCCTGGGTCTCAGTTTGTGTATTTAGCAAAAATACACAAAAAATCATAAAAAAAAATAAGTATGGCCTTGATTATTACCATTCAAGTTTTATATGATTTATCAAAGGAGATTCTAAAAGTTGACCTACTTTCCGTTGTCATGGCAACGATCATGTGATGTATATTTAGAGAAACAACACAAAAAATGATGCGTTTTATTCAGAGGCTCTGCAGCAGTATATTTCGTGACTGAGAGGATGCAGAATTGCAATAATCATTCACACATAATATCACTGTTTATTGAATAAATCCGGAAAGTTTACATTTAGGCTTCGTTTCATTATTTTATGCGGCTATATTACGATGATCGGCATCAAACGAATGTTAATCGCATCATTAAATGTTATCAACAAATAAATGTACAGTTTCCAAATTAACACAGGAAACTTTGTTCCCTTGTTAATGTTTTTAGCTAACAAAAATAGCAAAATTTTGTCAAATTACCCTGCTGCAAGTCGAACGCGTTTTTCCCGTGATGAATTTCACAAGCCATAATGAAACAGTCTGCCACTTATTGTAAGGGATACTATATTTCCAATAACAACATTCATTGCGCATTCAAGTCGATATCTTGAAGCATAGTTAATGCTTGAAGGGAAGCATGCCATGGTGGAAAAGACCGAGTGAACTATATATGCTATAATTAATTTTTAATTCACAATCAATTTTTCATTGAAAATAAGAAACAGTCAACAATTAATACTGAATAATCGCAAGATAGCGCACTATAAGAAGCTTTTATTTATCAGCAGTCCAAAGGTCAGCTCTTGCAAATGACACAATACTTATTGCTATACAAAGAGCCAATTATTACATCAAAACTGAATAGTATACCGACTTCTTTGCATTGTATATTCCAAAATAATCCTGTCGCTCATATACAGGGTGTATAAAAAAAAAGGTAATTGAGCTATTGAATGACATGCTTTTCATGCCCGGTGGAGAAAAAAGAAGCATGTACGAGGCCGATTAAAAATGTTAGTCAAAATCGCATATTTTCACCTCTGTGCCTAATTAAAACAATGCATAACAAAAGAAAAAGCAATTAATCACGAACGTGTCTAGTTTAGCTAAGATTTATTCCTACTTGATAATAATTATGAATATGTGCATCTCTTTTAATGAAGGGAAATTCATCAACTTAAGTACTAAAGGGGGTTCATTTTCAATGGTTTTAGACTCAACTCTGAACGGTGAAAATATGCGATTCTGACTAACATTTGTTATCGGATTCGTATTTGCTCATTTTTTATCCATTTGGCATGAAGAAGATATCATTCAACAGCTAAAAGCATGATCTTTCCGAATGTGAAAAAATCTTGTTCATACGCAGAGTAATTCAGATACAATAGCGCGCTGAACTTCGATTACCTTTTTTTTGTACACCCTGTACAGGTACACCCTGTACAGGGTGTATAAAAAAAAAGGTAATCGAACTTCAGCGCGGTACAGGGTGTACCTGTACAGGGTGTACCTGTACAGGGTGTACCTGTACAGGGTGTACCTGTACAGGGTGTACCTGTACAGGGTGTACCTGTACAGGGTGTACCTGTACAGGGTGTACCTGTACAGGG